GCAGTGACAACCCCTTCCCAGCAGAGTCCACCTGCAGAAGAGTCCAAGCTCATCCAGTCGGGATTTTAACCCACCCTGAGCTCCTTGCTCTTCTCAAAGCTCCCTCCCAGTGGTGCAAGAAATCCTTGCTGGATTCACGAGGGCAGAAAGATGGGGCTCAGTGGGCAGGAGCCTCTTTGGATTTTGTGATTTACCTTGAAACCCACTAGGTAAAAATCCCAGGAAAATGATGTTGCACGACTTTCCCGAGCCCACTCTCTAAACCTGCAGCACCAACGTGAGCAGGAGGATGCTGAGCCTCTCCCTCCTCGTGCTCCTCGACCCCGACATGCATAAGACATCCAACAGCACTTCAGATGCTGCAGGGAAATGTTTAAATCCAAAGCAAAAATCTGTTTCCAATTAGGTCTCAAAAAAAAAAAAAAAAGAGAAAAAAATTCCATAGAAACATTTCTGTTTAGATTTGTTTCCTGACATCACCTGAGCTCGCTGCCAAAACGCCGGAATATCTCGGTGCATTTCAGATTTTACTATTTGTTCAGGGTATTTTTTTTTTTTGCACACCTATGCAGGAACGCTTTGAAAATGTCTTTTTTTTTTTCTTTTAGGAGCGTGTTTCAGACAAATACTTCAAAGCAGTGACATAAGGGTTTGCTTAAACTCACACCATGTTTCACTCGTGGACATTTATCGCTTCTGAGGGCTCAGCAGCACCACTGGGAAGGCTCCAAGGGACTTACCAGACACGGGGAAAACTGTAGAAAAGTGATTCATTTCTTGTAACATTTATGACCCTTTGTGATCCTGGGGATTTTGGGTTTATTTTCTTATATCTTGTCTCATCCCAAAGGGATTATCTGATTCAGCAGCTGGATGAAGGGCCGGAGGAGAGCCTGGTATCAGATTCCACCTTACAAGAGATGGATCAGGCTGCTGCTTCCAGCTACTGCATCTCCAGGAATTAAACGCCCACATGCAGTAAAGAAAAACTGAAGGATCTTTCAGAGCTGGAGAGGGGCTTTGGACAAGGGCATGGAGTGACAGGATAAGGGGGAAAGGCATCAAACTGGCAGAAGGCAGGGTTAGATGGGATATCGGGAAGAAATTCCTCCCCATGAGGGTTGTGAGGCCCTGGCACAGGTTGTCCAGAGAAGCTGTGGCTGCCCCATCCCTGGAAGTGTCCAAGGCCAGGCTGGATTGGTGTCACAAATGAAGGGGGGGGGAAGGATGCAGCACCACAATGAGACTTTGAGCAATCTGGTCTAGTCCAAGGTGTCCCTGCCCATGGCAGGGGCTTTGGAATGACGTGGTCTTTAAGATCTGTTCCAACCCAAACCATTCTATGGTTCCATGATGAAATCAGTGTATCAGTTTGGGGAAAATATCCCTATAACAGGTTCCCTCTCCCAAGTGCCTGCTCACCGTTTAATTTTTTTTCTGCAACAATCTTGCCGAGGTCTTTAGTGGCCACAAAGTGTCCTGCTGCAGCAGCTGACTGATGAAGGCAGCCCCACTGATCCCAAAACGCCTCTCCCAGCTGAGAAATGCATCAGTCATGAGGAACACACCATCACCCCACTGGGGAGATGCTCATCAGTACCTCAGCCCCCGGCTCTGGGCAGTTCTGCAGCTCAGAGCAATTGCACAGTTGTGTTTTCTAGAGGGAACAAAACAGACATTAAACATGGACTGTGCTCAGTTCGACCTTGTATGAAATCTCGTGCTGTACTTAAATCTTGTGAATCAAATAATTTGCTTTTTGTTTTCCTCCTCTGCATCTGCCTGCTTCCATCTGCCCCTGTGTCCTTACAACTCTGCCGCAGTTATTACATTAACAAAATGTGGGCATGAGTTCTGGATAATAACATTTTATCTGGAACCATGCCATGCTGGGAAGATGGTAATTTAGTTAATTGAATTCCATCTAAAATGATACTAAATCAATATTCCAGCACGGAGCTGGAACACACAGCTGGCAGTGAAGCATTGCCTGGAACACTCGTGGTCAAACCAATATCTCAGGGCACTGACAGGAGGAGTTTGAAGTTTGAGTCCCGGGTTTAGGTGATACAAACTGTGCTCTGAATCTTGTCTGAACAGGATTTACAGCCTTGCCTGTGTGTTTTGGAGAGCACTGTCCATCAGGCTGGGAGCGAAATGGAAAAGTACTGAGGGAGCAGTGCAGGTACAGCTCTGTAGGGAAGCTGTTTTGCCTGGCCCCAGATCAAGGACCTGCCCTGCACCAGCACAGTGCCCTGTGAGGAGGGATGATCCCTGGGGGAGCAGATGTTTGGAACAACAGCAATGTGAGCTCTTCCTGGTGATCCTGCACAGGCACAGAGAGGCTTAAACCTCCCTGGGCATATTGGCATCCACTGTCTCCTCCTTCTAGGAACAAATCTGTGTCCTTGAGGAGCAGAGTAATCCATCCTCATCAGTATCTCTGGTCAAATCTCTGGTCATCCCAGAGAAAAATGACCTCTTGGAGGAGTCAGATCCCTTATCCCAGGCACATCAATGCTGTCAAAGCATGAAGCACATCAGCTATGACCCCAGATGATTTTAGAAACACTCCAGGGAAGTGACTTTGGGGGCAGAGAACACATTTTACAGCCAAATTAATTGTAACCATGCAGCTGAGCCCTCTGGGCTGCACATCTTGCTGGCAAGGTGAGACATCAGCCTGTGAGAGGTTCTGGGTTTGCCTGGAACGGTGGAGGAGGTGGGTGTTTGAGGCAGGGCTGGGGTGAGGTCTGGGATGTCTCTCCGCTGCGGGAGAACGACCGGAGAGCAGCCAAGGGGAAGAGACAAGTGGGAAGGAGAAAAAAAAAAAAAGCTTCATGTCTGGGGCTTGGATCAATGCAAACAACATAAATACTGGCTGAGACACCTTCCGCCCTCCGGCTCCTCGGCTGCCAGGGAATTGCAGGCTGGCTGCAAAGTGTCTTCCTGAGGCTGGTGTGGAGCCAAGCCCAGAGCGAGTGTTGGGCCAGAGCAAGGTCGTTAGCCCAGGGAAGTGGCTGCAGGCCCTTCTGTTTGGGCAGCATCGCTTTTCATCACACAAAGTGGATCTGCAGCCGACATCTGGAGGTGTCCTCTACCTCAGCAGCCTGTGGCACCACCTGCAAGCTTCACAGCTGGACCTGCTGGTCCTGCAGAAGTTCCTTCGGGTTGGGGTCTTCCCGAGGGCTGAGCACCCCAGCTTGGCCTCTCCTCGTCTGTCCTGTGCTCCAGTGCCAACCACCCCAGAGGCCTCTGCTTTCCTGCCCACTCCTAAAGACTGGTGTTTAAAGGCCACGCTCCTTGCACTTACCTGCCTGTGAAGCTTTGACCATGCCAAGGGGCTGTGTGATGTTTGCCATTTTTGGTGAAGACTCAAACGGACATCTCGTTGTTCCCAGAAAGCTGTTCCAGTCACTTCAGAGGATGTGACTTCTTTGCAGGTTGATCTGAGGCACTTTGCAGCCATTAGACCCCGTTGGTCTAATTCTCTGGCACTAATTCTCCTGCGGCTGGTTTGGCAGGACTGAGATGCCATTCCCAGGCAGGGAGCAGCATGCACTGGAGCTGCCTCCTTGGGAACAAGAAGATTGGAGGGGAAAAGTCCCATGTAAGGTGGGGAGCAAGTGGTGGAGCACTTAAAGATGTGCTGGAGCAGGCGAGGAGCACCTTTAGGCTGAGGGGTGACAACACATGGCAACTGTGAGCCATGATCTGACCTCTGCAGTGGCTTCACAGGCTGCAAAGAAGCCGCTTCTGTTCAGCAGCAGTGGCTCGGTAGGGTGGTGAGACACTGGCACAGGTTGCCCAGAGAAGCTGTGGCTGCCCCATCCCTGGAAGTGTTGAATGGAACTTGGAGCAGGGGTAGTGAAAGGTGTCCCTGCCCATGCCAGGAGGATTGGAATGAGGTGGTCCTTTAAGGTCCTTTCCCACCCAAACCATTCCAGACATCTACGATTTCTGATTTCCCAATATCAGAAACATGTCAGTACCCAAAACTGCCCTTCAGAACTGCCCTGGCAGCAGCACCCTCCCTGTGATCCACAGCCAGGTCCTGACAGGGACTGCACACAGGCAGGGGACGAGTCCCATGGGGCCCTGACCTGCTCACCTCTGCCCAAAACATTTTTCTGCACTTCATTTGTGCAGCTGGGAGAAGAAACAAAGTCCCTCCCACTGCAGCAACAGGTGTCTGCAGGATGAACACTGGATGCTCAGAGAGAGGATTTAGGGATAGACAGCCATGAATCCCTCTGACCTGCTCAAAGGAGGGCTAAGATCCCCCAGCCCTCACCCCAGCCTACCACTGGTAGACACTTACTGCTAGACCCTCACTGGGGATGGGGATGAATCCAGGCCAGAATAAGACAACCTCTTCCTTCTCCTGTGTTTTCCAAAGCAGGTGTCCCTGCAGGTGGATGCAGAGGTGCAGTGCTGTGCTTTGGCAGGGACTGAGCCCGCCCAAGCCACGTGTGTGCCTTTGGCACATGCCTCACGGCCTGGGCAGTGCCAGTACCATGGCTCAGGCACCTGGAAATAATTCTTGCGGGTTATCTAGGGAGCCTGGCTCTGAATGAATGATCACAGAGAAAGGTACTTAGCTGGAAAGCCTGGCATCAGGCTGGCAACACCCCAGCAGGCTCAGGCCATGCCTGGGATCGGGTTGGCAACACCTACACCCAGCCGGAGTGACCATCCCATCCCGGAGCTGCCGTCCCATCCTGGAGCCCAGCCTGTTCCCAGGGATCGTTACCAGGAGCTTGTGTGTTTGGTTGCAAACAGAGCAGGAGCGGGAGCCAGGCGCTCGTGTTTGTGTGCCTGCGGTTGCTCAGGCAACTCGGGGCCAGCCAGGAGCTGCCAAAATCATCGGTGGCCAGGGCCGAGCCCCCGGCGCGGCTTCTCCCGGGGCGGCGTGACCGGCCGAGCCCCCTGTGCCGGGCGGGGTGAGCGGCCACGGGGGCTGTCCCTGCTCGGGCCCGCGAACACAACCAGAGCGGAGCGTCAGTGCGGAGGGGCTTTATTGCAGAGCCGGGTTACAGCGTGGGTCTGCAGCATCCTTTGGTCTGGGCTTCACGAAGGCAGCGGGAGGCCGCAGGGGTTCGGGTCGGAGACCTTTGCCGGCGGCCAGGCAACACCAAGCTGTCCCGGGATGCTCCCTGGGGCTGGGCCAGGAGCATCCCGGCAGCTCCGGCACTAACGGCACGGCAGGGTCTGAGCCTTCCGTGGTGCTGGGCGAGTGGCAAAGCCAGGCAGCCCCGTGGGGAGGGCACCGGTGGGGAAGGAGGAGGTGGCTGTGGTGTAAGTGGTGCAGGGTTAAGGCAGGTCCCCATGAGGTCTGCAGGGAGGGCAGGCTGCGGTCCCCGGTGGGACGGGGGAGGGTGCCCCGAAAGCCGGGGCTGAGGTAGGGAAGGTCTGGGTGCCAGCGGGGCAGGGGAGCCCTGAGGAGCAGTGCTGTTAGTACGGTGGACGCTGCCAGTGGTGTGGGACTGGGGGTGACAGCGCGGGGGACACGGGGCGGGATGGGGGGATCACAGCACAGGGTGGGACGGACGCAGCGCTGGGGCAGAGCACACGGGCCCGGAGACTTTCCCAATCACATCAGCGCTGGGCGGCCGACATCCCGCCAGCCTGGGGCTGGCCCCAGCGCAGCCTCCCGGGCCCCACCTCACACGGGCACGTCCCAGGGCTGACGTGAGCGCCCACCCCACGGCGGGCGGGCAGGGACCGGGGCGGTGGGCGCCGCGGGCAATCCCTCCCTACTTTTTCACTTTGGCATCGTAGGTGCCCGCGTTCTTGTAGGCACTGACGTAGCCGCTGGTGTCCACGATGTTCTCCCGCCCGCTCTTGCCCTTGCCCTTGCCGCTCTCGTCGAAACGCTCCTTGTGGGACCCCGTGTACTTGGAGGTGTCCGTCAGCCTCTCCACGGCCCCCACTGTCTTGGCTTTCTGCAGTGGGGAGATGGGACATGAGAGTCAAGAACGTGCCCTGTCCCCTTCACCCTTTGCTCCTGACACCCACCAGAGTGCCCTACACAACCCCCTGTGCCCTACACAACCCCCTGTGCCCTACACAACCCCCTGTGCCCTACACAACCCCCCAGGGCCATGAGGTCTCCTAGGAAGCATCTGCACTGCGGGCAGAGCTCTGTCTTCCCCTCCTGACCATCCCTCCTGCTCCCAGCAGCTGAGGGGCTCCTCACTCACCGTGACACCCACGTTAATGGGCTCCTTCCCTGCCACCAGCTGGCAGATGGCTTCATATGCCTCCTCTTTGCTCTTGTCCTTAAACCTCTTGGGGGCCAGCTCCTCCAGTGCCTTCTTGAACTCCTCGTAGTTGATGACCCGGGCTGTCTTCCCTCTGCAAGCACAAAACCCAGGCTGCCATCAGCACCTCTTCAGTTTGTGCCTCCATATGGGATGAGCTGCATCAGGGAGACCCAGTCTCTGTTCTCCACCAGCCTCGGGCCCCTCATCCACCTCTGAAATTCAGCTGCAGCAATCCCAGCTGAGTGGGTCGGGCTGGGCACAGCTGGTGCTGAGCTGGTGCTGAGCTCCAGGAGCTTTTCAGCCACGTGCTGTTGAAGTCCCTGGTGCCAAAAGCCAGGGTGCATGGAAGTGCTCTGGGACTTGGGTGCTGGTCAGGAGGGGATGTGCATCCATTTCCACTGCTCCCAGCCCGCCTGGGATGCCCAGCATCCTCCCTCCCCTGGCAGACATCAATGCTCTGGTCAAACTCAGAAGGATGTGCGCAGAGCATCTCTCCCATGAGCTCCTGGTCCTCATCTCAGCACAACAACCTGCCCTCCTGCACCCCAAAAACTGCCCAGTGCTCAGCCCCTCCTGATCCCACTCAGGAACAAGGTGATGCCTGGACAGAGCATGAGGATGGAGCAGATTCTCCACCCATCCTTGCTTGTGCACCTTGGTGGGGAGCATCAGGTGTTACCATGTTCCCAGAGACCCCAAAAAAGGTCCAGGTGCCTTTTAGCCCTTCAAGCTGCCTCTGTGACTTCCATGGACCAGAGTCCTCCTCAAGCTCTGGCATTGGCTGGCCAGGCCCAGGGATGTGCCACATCACACAGGACACCCCTTAACATCACAGGGCACCTTCTTGTCAGAGGGGAGCCAGGCAGGCCCATCCCAATGGCAGGAGTGGGAGCAGGGGCACAGTCTCTGCACAAAATCTGAGCCTTCCACCCCCACATTTGGGTTAATTTATCATTAGGCCTTGCAGAAGCAGCCACACATCCTCCCTGAAGGAGGGACACCACAGGGCAGCACCTGCAGCTCCGTGCCAAGTGGGATGGGCAGCCTGGGTGCACAGCCAGGGTATCACAGCTCTGCAGGGACCCCCACACCCAGGCACCACCACCCTGCCCACACTGCGAGGGCATTCCCACCCTCCGGGCAGCTGGAGGCCCCGAAAATCCCATTCACTTACTTCACCTTGGAGAAGACAATATCCACATCGGTGCTGGTGACGCTTTTGCCGTCGGTGACTTTGCAGTCCTTGCACAGCTTGGCCCAGTTCTTCCCGTTCATCTCCTGCCCCGTGGCCTTGGTGTCGCCATAGATGGCGAATTTGCGGAAGCTTTCCTCCAGGGATGCCATCTCAGCGTTCCCGGCCATGGGGCTGCAGGACAGGGGCCAGAGGGGCCCGTCACCGCCCAGGCTCCGGCTGGCAGAGCTCAGCTGGCTGCTCCTGGCTCCTCGAGGGCAGGAGGAGGAGGAGGAGAAGGGCTGGCGAGGGTGGAGGCGCTGCAGCAGGGTCGGGGTGTTGGCAGTGCCTGCGGGCGTGGGGTGACGGCTGGTGGCAACCTCGGATGAGCCCCGAGGCCAACAGCCAAGAACGTGCCTTGGGGAACGGAGGCTCCCGGTCGAGAGCTGTCAGCAGCCGGGCTGTCAGCTCTGGGGGCCGGCAAGGAGTGAGCGCATCAGCCTGTCCCCTCGGGAGCACGCTCCGGGAATGACGCAATGCGTCCGCCTTTCTCCCGCTCGCAGATCAGGAGAACCGGCACCGCGCCTGCCTCCAGCCCCACCTCTGCCCTGCCTGCATCCCCCCCGCACGGAGCTGCAGCACCCCAGTCCTGTGCCCTGCTCCCTAGGGCTGAGCCGAGCGTGGTGCCCCTCAGGGTGCCAAGTTGCCAGTGGGCCCCTGCGCCTCGTCACGGCACCGCGGCCGCTCCCCATCCCTGCTCCCCGTCTGCCGTCGCCTCGCCAGCCTCACCCTGCCGGCTCAGCATCCCTCACCACGCGCCGAGCACCCGCAGCGCCTCGGCAAGGCCGTGGTGGTACCCGGGAAACCTCCGGCACCCAGGGGGGCCCGGGTACACCGAGGTGCAGAGCGGGCACGTCGCCCGGTGGATGCCCGGTGGGGCCCCGGAGCCTCGGCGAGGGCCGGGCAGTGGTCCCTCGGACCGTCGCTAGGGAGGATGGGCGTTGCCTGGCGACCGTCGCTAAGGAGGCGCGGCGGGGCGGGGATGCCGCCGGTCGCCGCCCGGCCCCGCGCCCCCTCGGGCTCCCCGCAACGCCCCGCACGGCCCCGCAGCGCGGAGCAGGGGCTGTCCCCTCCCGGCTGGGTTGGGGGGTCTCCGCCGGTGCTTTGCGGGGTGCCGGGGCAGCGGCCGCCCACCCCGTACCCCCTTCCCTTCGCAGCGGCCCCGGGCCGGGCAGCGGGGCGTGGGGGCGCGGGGGGCGCGGGGGGGGTGTAGGGGGGTCCCGTCCGCGGCGCGGCCGCGCTCGCCCGGTCACTCACCTCGCGGAGCCGCGCTCTGAGGCGGGGGGGCGGCCCCGCCGCCGGTTTAAGGCGCCGCCATAGCGACGGGAGGGGCCGCGGGCCGCGCCCTCCAGCCGCCCCCTCCCGCCTCCCCCGGGCCGCGGCTCGGCCGGGAGCGCCCTCGGGGCGGGGAGACGGAGCCCAGGCGGAGCTGCGCCACCCCTGGGATACCCCTCCACCACGCCGTGAAGCCCCTCTGATTTTCCCCCAAGACCTTACCGGCGCTCCACAAGGTCTTTCCTCCACCCCACAAGATCTCTCCATCACCCCACGAAGCCCCGACATTGCCCCACAAGGTCCCTTCATCACCCCACGAGGTCCCACCATCACCCCAAGAGGTCTCTCCAGCTCCCTTTCCCCCCCAGACTCCCCCTGTCAGCCCTGCTGTGCTCTGCCCTGCAGCCCTGTCCCCTGTCCCACACAGCCACCGTGCCCCTCCGTTGAGGAACTGTCCCCTCTTGGTGGGTGACACCATGGACCAAAGGTCCATGCCCAGGCTGTGGGGACAAATGCCAACTGTCTTGCTGTGCAAGCACCTGTCCCCTCTGCACGGCCCAGTGGGACATCCTTGGAGCAGCCACATGCCAATCTGCCCATCCTGGCAGCCCAGAGCGTGACCACACACAGGGCTCCCAGTGGGTGCTGCAAGCTGAGGCAGTGCCCAAATATTGTGGTTGTCATGGAGCCCCAACACAGCCCACATCACTTACTCATGGCCCCACCTCAGCTGTGTGCCCAGAGCCCGTTCCTGTCCCAGTGCTCTGCTGGCACTCCCTGGGCTCAGGGCATCGTGGGTGACCAGCCACAGCACCACCAGGAGCTGTGCACAGACAGGGGATGCAGAGTGTGGTTTGCTGCTGCCGTGGGGGTCCTGCGGGCAAATCAGCAGCTTGGGGAGCTGGGAAGTGGCTCAAACAACAGAGCCTTTGGCAGCCTGTGGTCTCTGTCTGCCCTGGTCCCTGTGCAGAGGAGCCCCAGGACAGGGCTGCCCCAGGGGTATCAGTTCTGCTCGTGCACCCAGAGCCCTTTGCTGTGGGGTAGAGCCTCAGTGACAACCTCCTCCTCCTCCTCTTGGCTGAGGGGCACACGTTCTCTGCTGGGACATAGTTGACAGTTCTTGACTGGACAAAGCTGTGAGCAACCTGTTCACACTGATCCTGGCTTGGAGCAGGGACTGGAGACTTCCAGAGGTGATCACCAGCCAGCTCTGGGGGTTTGGGATCACTGAGTTTACCTCCCACTTCAGAGGTGAGTGCCGGGGCCGGTGCCAGAGGCTGCAGGCACATCACAGCACTTGGCTGCTTTGGTAGCCCCAGCTGGTCACAGCCACATGTTACAGCCACTGTGTTACATCCCCCAACCAGCCCAGTGACGCCTCCATCAAGGTCTCTGCAGGAGCTGCTGTTTCACAGCCCAGCCAGAGGCAGGGTGGCAAGGACATCCTGCAGGGGATAGTCCAGTGTGGGCAGGGTTGGTGTGGAGGCTCATCTGATGCTGGAGTCCAGACAGACCTCTCCAAGAAGTGTTTTTCCTCTCTCCTGTCTGTCGGAATGTAAACCAGCCTCCACGCAGACCAGCAAGGACCCAGGGGTGTCATCCCACCCACAGAAGACAGGGAAGAGCTTTTGCCTTCTCTCTGATTTAAGGAGAGGGGAATAACTGGGACTGCCATATCGAGGAGGGTGGATAAGTCTTGCTGAAGGTACAGTCTTGTCCTTAACTTGCCCTGCAACTCCCCACAGGAGCAGGTGTCTCTGGCTCAGCGTCAGCTCCGGAGAGGAGCCCAGGTAACGTGGGCTGGAGCATCCAGGCTGCAGCAGCTCTGCAGGGCTTGACAGCACAGTAGTTCCAGGCAGCAGCAGGCAGGAGCTGAGCACGTTGGCAGCTCTTCTGTAGGAGCTCCAGCTGGTCCTGGGGCTGCAGAGCCCAGAGAGCCAAGAGATGGCACATGGGGAGAGCTGGGCAAGGGGGAGCACTGAGCCACAGCTGGCGAGTTGCCCCACGGGGTCAGGCTGAGCAGGTCAGGTTTCTGTTCCTAAGGGCTGGGGTTTGTTGTGCATTTGTTGTCACCATGTTGGGATGGAGTGTGGTCCTTGGCTGGCTCCTGCTGTTCCTCATGCAGCCCGGAAAAGGAAGCCCAGGAGGAGGCTGGGGCTTGATCCAGAGCCCACAGGACGGGCAGGAGTTGAGAGGGAGGTTGCACAGGTCCTGTGCTGCAGCGGAGGAGCATGTACACGGCTCAGGGCTCAGCTCCCCAGGGACATTTCCCTTCTAATCAAGGTCAGGATGTTCCCAGGCTGTCTCCTGCCCCAGGGACCTTAATGAGCCGAAGACTCCAGTGCTTGTTCCTGACACACCGAGGCTCACACACAGCTCAGTGTCCCCGAGGTGCAGCTTCGGCTGCTGGAATGGTCCCTGCTAGGAATGTGTCCCTCTCCCTGCCTTCACACAGAGTCCCCGAGTGCTGTGACTGCTCAAAGACACAGCTCAGAGCTTGAGTGAGAGCACAGCACAACCTCGGAGCACCCTCTGTGCTCACCCTCACCCTCTTTGCCCCTCACCTCCCCCGGGGCTGGGCACTCCAGGCTCCCGGGAGTCATCTTGTTTCAGGAATGAGTCGCTGGCTCGGCCGCGTCTGGGGTGGGATGAGGTTATGCGGGAACGCTGCTTCTCCAGCGCGAGTTGCTACAAAACAGAGGGAAGTGTTTCGGAGGTTGTGCAATCTGTGTACGGTCACCCCGGCAACAGCGTGTCCACAAGGCATCAGCAGGGCTTAGCTGCGGCTGCCGAGCGGCGCGATCGCGGGGTGCTGGGTGTGCTGTGTGTGTGATGTGTGTGCGATGTGTGTGCCGGCTGTGCCACCGGCACCGGGCACACAGGAGGGGGGCAAAGCTCCATCCTCTGGCAGGAACTTCCTTTCCCCCCGCCCTCCCGCGATTCAAGGCAGCTCATTGAGATGCTCTCGGGACGTGTCAAAAGCAAGCGCAGGAACAGACTCACACAAAATCGTTTCCCAAAGGAAGGTCCCCTTGACTTCAAAGGGTAAACAAAGAAACTTGAGCCAGGCCTGAAGATAAAAGCAAGCAGGACGTGCGTCCCCTGCCAAGGCAGGAGGCTCACAGCAGGCACTGCAAGGCCTGGCACAGCTGCCAGAGTGTGGCCAGGGACCACGATTTCTGATTTTGGAGGACCGTGCAAAGCTGTCATCCTGCAAATCATTGCTTCTTCCTAATAAAAAGCCACAGTGTCCCGTGGTGGAAACAGCTGGTCCAGGGCGCTGCCTCCTGCTGATGGGAGAGTTCATGCCCTGGCAAAAACCTTTTATTTAGTGCTGGAGGAGGTGCTTGGGGATGTCAGACCTCAGTGTTTCTGCAGTGAGGGGGAGTTAAAGCATCGGGACTCCTGCTCTCACCTTAACCCAGCTCTCTGGTCTGGGGCTGTACCTTGCAGTCACTGCAATCCTCTGGTGTCAAGACCAGGACCACTCTGCTCACATGCTGGACTCTGCAGCAGCACCCTACTGTGATTCTATCCTTTTGCTTGCTGCCACAGGTCTGCTGTGGACCTTCCTCATCCAGGGCAGCAGAAATACCATTGGCATCTGAACCTGTGGGGTTATCAGCATTAGAGTCCCAAGAGAACAGAAGCGAGGTTGGGAAGGAGAGTCCAATTCTCCCAGGAGCTAAAACCATCTCAGCCTCACCATCTTCACTCTTGGGTGCCCATTATGCATCTTCAGCAGTCCTCCTTTGATGTGGTTGTGGCAGAAACACAAACCCCAGCCCAATTCAAACCACCATGTGGCACACACAGTCCTGCCTGCTGCCTGTGAGGTTCAGGAGATCAGATCCACCGCTGGCAGTGCTGGGAGCCCGTCCTGCTGGAGCCTGGCTCTTGGCTCAGCACCCTGCTGCTCCAACACATGGACACAGCAATGTTTGGCAGCCTTGAGTTATTCAGCAGAGCGGAGAAAATGTTCCAGCTGAAGGCAGCAGAAGGATGGCTTCCCTCCCAGGATCCCATTGACCTCCAAAAAAAGGTGTTTGGCTCCTGCACCTCGTGAAGCCTGCAAGGCTGGGCACAACCAGGACATCCCAGCAGTCCCATATAACACCCACAGGGCCCTAAGGAGAGGGGACTGCTGTCACCCCCACACTGGTTACGGTGCTGAGCCGTGCTGGGACATCAGAGGCTCAGGGAGAAGTGAACCAACAGCTGGGAACATCGACTGGGCAGATCCAGGAGTGGCTGCAAAAACGAGGAAACTGTTTAGCAAAGAGTATAGAAAATTTTATTGTGGCCAGAGCTACTAAAGAGCTCTGTACATGATTTTGGGACTGGTTCTGCATGGACAGAGATTAAGAAAACACACAAGGTCTGCTCAGGGGCACCTGCTGCAGAGGAATTACCAATGCCTTCTGGTGGAGGGACAGCTGGCCTTGGAAAACCCTGAGCCCAGTGTTGCTGCAGAGTTTCCTTGGATGACAGTGGACACGAGGAGAAACAAGAGGAAGGACTTTGTCTAACCAGGACCCATTGGTGAGCAGATGCCCTGGTCTCTGCAGACACCCAGTGCCATGTGTGCTGGTCCACAAAGGCTGGACCCACACTCACCTGCTTTTCCA